ATTTTGGTTCAATGGCTGATTTAACATGCGTAGGACGTATAAATCTATACTTTCAAAAAAGTTTTGAATGAATTCAACTTATCCGAAAGAGAAAAGATATAAATAAATTTTCTACAATTTATTTTGTCCTTGCCATTTCAAAGTTTCAATATGTCAGAAGAGTTTCATATATAGAATGTCTCTACAGTAATCATAGTATAAGTGATTCTATACAAATACTATACAAAAATAAATCTAGAAAAAAGAATAATATTTTAATATTTTCGAATTTGAAAAATTTTTAAATACACGTGAAATTGACTGTTAGATAGGAATAAATTATCGACAGTAGATAATTCTGCGTGTGAAAATAAATAAAAAATTGTAGAATAAATATTTTTCATTCGAAAATTACTAATTTTCGAAAAAATTGAATTTGAAAATTCGCCAATTATACGATTGTTTTTGTTATTTCTTAAATATTAAATTTTCTTAAAAATAAAGATAAAATTTCATTTTTTCATATATTATGTTAGAAGTAATTAATTTCATTTGTATTTGAAAAATTTTGATTTATTGAATTATGATTTATTTGAAAACGAGGCTTTAAACGAAAAAAATATTGCATGATTTTCAAGACACCTCGTATATTTTTATACCTGGACATTATTGTCTTAAACTTCTTATAAAAATTCCGCCATATTTGTTCGTTTCGACGACTCGACTCGCCATTTTCAACGCCAGATTACTATACGAAGACAAATATCGATGTTCGATCGAATAAGCAGCTTATCTCTTTTCTCCTTTGTAACACGATGAAGTATTATTCAAATATTATGCATCATGTAATATTCCATTATTCGTATCATGAAAAATATTATTCACGTTTATATTTAAACACTACTTACCCAGATGTTCCGTGTACAATTTCTGATTATAAATTTTCCTTATTCTACGATTAACTATTGTTTATTTACAATTTTATTTTTGTTCACAATATCTCGTGATATTCGCTCGATTTTCAAATAAATTATTTAAAAAATAATATTTCATTGTTTTATCTGGTGATTTGAAATAATCATCGTAGTCGTAATATCGTATACTAATAATTTTTCCTTTTTATTTTTCATTTGAATTTTCAATTTCAAACAATTTTCCAAATAAAATTTTAAATAAATCTTTTTTATAATAATCTTAAATTCCATCATTTTCGATATCCTCGATTAAAATAATTTTTATATAACATTTCAAGCATATATATATTATCAAAGAATAAATACATAAAAACGAAAATAAGTTGAAAGTAAAATTACTTCTTTCAACATTTATCCTCATTCAACGCAATATCTTGTGTCAAATTATTTTTATTTCGTATATTTTTGTATTCTTAGTATTTTAGAGATTAAAAAAATTACTTTTAATTTGAAATAAAATTATTTTTTACATGTTACTATTTTAATGTTAATAATTAATTATCGATTAATAATTGATAATAATTATAATCGTTATATCGAATATACATTCAAGTCTAATATACATTCCTAGTCTCGTCGTTAACTATAGTCTCTTAACTCTGTTGGAGTTGACTATAGTTCTCGTTCGGCTAATCGCGCTTCGAGGTGATTTCAAGTACCGTTCTAATTAAAGAAGTTGTTACGAATACAGATAGGAGCATTGGAAAGAGAGCATTGTGATATCCTTTAATGTTGAGAATAGAGGTGAAACGAATATTGTTGAAAGGAATAAAAGGGATAAAGGGAATATTGGACTTGGTTCGATGGTATCGTACTTCCTATTTTTTTTTTAAATCGAAATCTTTTTATAAAGATATTTCAATTTTTTATCGATATTATTATTGTCGATAATATAATTACCTGTAATTTTATATAATTTTATTATATAAAATATAATATTAATTTTCAGAAGATGTATTATTATCATTGAACATAATAAATTTTTTAAAATTATTATTCATTTAATTGAATATCGATAAAAATATATTTATAAAATATATACGCAATGTTAATATCAGAGGAATAATATATTATATTATTTTAAAACTTTTTTTTTATAATTTTATATGTTTGAATTATTATCCTCGATGAATTTTTTTAAATAAATTTTTTATATTTTCAATACATTCGAGCAATATATTTTTCTTTATATTCGCTACGAATATAATACGTAAGACAAATTACAAAATTATATTATCAACAATTTTTCACCATTTCGATGAAAAAAAAAATTAATTAAGGAACGAAGGGAAGAAAGAATGAAAATGATAATAAAAATAAAATGATTATCAAAAACACGCAAGATATAGTTTTCAGAATTGTTCTGTCTCTCCGACAAAAGGTCAAAGTTTGTCCTAACCTAACTTCTTTTCAAAATGAGAAATACATTCGCGTAATGGAAGTTGAGCTATCAAATATTTGCACGCTCGTGTCTTGAACGATGTTTGGACAACGTTTTTCGATAATTGCCGCTTTAATATGTCCAAATGAGGGTAGTGAAAAGAAAAAGGCGAAGGATGTAACGATAGATATGACACTCTAGTATAACGTATATTTATCACACGCCTCTTTGGCAAAGAGATTTTATACTTGACATTATAATCGATGACACTTATGGAGACATTTAAATAATAAGTTCTTCCATTACTTGTTTACGTTATAGAAAAAAAAATTTTTGAAGTACGTGATTACACTTATTATTATTGATCATATTCATACTCGTATTATTCATTTTGAATTCATTCATGATTTGAAATTTTATTTTAAAGGTTTGGTAAGATGGCATTGAATGTAATGAAGGGATTTATTTCTTAAACATTTATTTAATGCAATTTATGAAAGTATTATTTTTTGATATGATATAACAAATTCTATAATTTATATAAATTTCTTGTGATTTAAAATTCATTTTAGATTTTTGATACAGTAATATCGAATGGAGAATTTATTTTTGAAACATTTTTCAATATAATTTATTTGTTTGATGATCACACAAATTAACAGAGATCACACAGATGTGTATGTGTGTGTGTGTGTGTGTGTGTTTTTATTTTGGATCCATTATTATTAAGACTCTTTGTTATCTCTTGTTTCCAGCAACCATATTGATGTAAATATGTAAATGTTTGAACACGTTATGCTAATAAAATTTTCACAAAATGTTTATTCAAATAATATTATCTATTAACTTTATTATCCAATAGCAATTTTATTAGAAATAACAAATGTATGAAAAATACTTGCAATAATTTTTCAATTTAAGCTCTTATTATGAGCAACCATTATTGACATTTATCTATAATTCACATAAATATTTGAATATAAATCTTCAAAAAAAATGATTCTTAAAACGATTATTTAACCTTACCAACATCTTTGCTTTATTATCCAATAAACATTTAGAAATAATTATAAAAATTCTTCTAGTAACTTTCTAGTAACTTAACCAAAATTGTAACCTTCAAATCGCCGTTCAAAAACTGATCACTTTCGACTCGATCCGAGCTGTAAAAGCTTAATACGAATAATCATGCATCCAAAACACTTCTTACTCGAAAAAAACCATTGAACAAATTAAATCCTCTTATTCGCATTCTCTTTCCACCTAATATCTCTCTAATAGCGTATCAAATCCATCCATCCACGCTCTCTCTCTCTCTCTCTCTCTCGTGTGTGTGTGTTGCTCTCTCTTCCCTCCAGCTCTCAGAGTAATAACTAGGGAGAGCGAAAATTCCATTCCTCGTTCCTAAATCACGTCAGAGAGGGCGCATAAATCGATGTACCGCCATTGCCAGTCGAACATGAAAGCCAGAGAAGAAATGATGTGTACGAGTGTGGTTCTCGACAGAGTCACGGTTCTACAATGTTTATGTTGCGTATTCGCGTGATTCATTCGCGATGACAGGATGCAAGATACTGATATTGACAAAATGGAGAGAGATGGAGGGTTTCGATTTTTTTTTGCTTTCTAAAACACGAGAATTTAGTTGAGTAGTGAGCTCGACCACTTATCACACTTATTGGCTCATCCTTGGGTCACCCCAAGTATTGAAGATGGTAGATAGAATTTCGTTCAAGATTTATATCGAGTGTAGGGATTTTTTTTTTTTTTTATTGCTTATTGGGTCCAATTAGGGAAACGAAATTTATGCGATTGGTTATTGGTTCTTCTGAATTCGACTTCTCTTCCTCCCCCCCCCCTTTTTTTTCTTTTTTCGTTTTATTCAATTTATTCTTCAGTGTGTTCAAGTTTTATTTAATTAGTTCTTCTGCTGTATTGGAATCGAAAGTGTTATTCTTTTTCTTTTTTTTTTTTTCGTTTATTATTAATTTTTTTCTGTATTGGACTTCAAGGTTCTTCGTCTTTTTTTTATTTTATTTTATTTTATTTATTTTTTTGTATATTAGAGTCTAAAATATTGATCGTTTTAATTAATTTTTCTTTCTATTAGAGTCCAAAGTGTTTGTTACTTATTTTATTTTATTTAATTTATTTTTCTGTCTATTAAAGTTCAAAGTATTTTGTATGTTTTTTTTTAATTAGTTATTTTGTTTATTGGGATAAGAATGAAAGGACGGAATTACTTTTTAATATTCGTGAATTGTAATGGCGATTATATGATAATATTTAAGATTAGAGATTTGAATGAATTTTAATAATAATAAAATTAATGGTATTAATAATTATTATATATAATAATATTAAATTATTTCTGAATTTTTACATATCACTTCAAAATTATTTTTATTCAACTTTTAAGAATAGTTTAAAGTAGTTTTTAATAAATAATATTTTTTGCTATGTAAAAATAATTTTAAATATAAAAATTTTTACTAGACTTGTAATATATTGGAGAAAATTATTATAATTATATTTCTATTTATTATTATTACTTTTATTTTATCAATTTTCAACGAATAATGTTTCTTGCTATAATTTGCTATAATAACACCTAAAAAAAAAAAAAAGAAGAAATGAAAAATTAAGAAAATAAATCGAAATGTGAATAAAATTTTTTCAATTCTTTATTCTTTTCTTTTTTCCTTTTTACGTTTCACCTCGAAAAAAAATTTTGTTACAAAAGTGAAATATCTGTGACAAGGTAATTTCACAAATAATTATTTTCTAAAAATGATTTTTGAATCTCCGGAACGAAATTTAATCGAATGTTAACTTGTTCACGAGAAAATATTTTCAAAGAACCAATCTCGATCTGCTGCAATATCACGGAATAATAATTAATATATGAATCTGGAAATTCTGAAATTTCAAAAGAAAAATGGCATCGTAAATGAAAATACCTCGAGGTACATACAAAAATCTCGATCAAAGTATTTTCATCGCGATTTCATCAATATCGTGTCGTAAAAGAGAAAAATAAAATTTCATTGGAAAACTTCGCGCTTTATTTCTCAAATACAAAAGGCAGATGATAAAGAAAAATTCGTTAAGATTATTTTTGTTATGGAAAATATAAAAATTCGTTGGAAATGTTTTGATTACATTTTTTTTTTGCAGAATAATTTCATCAATTAATAATTAAAAATCCGAGAAAAATTGTTAAAGCAAAGTATAATTATTTGCCTCCATTTTGATTTATTTTCAAACTCGAGATATATATCGATTCGTTTCGAGATGTCTCAATAATCGTGATAATTTTTAATCTAATTAAAAAAATTAGAAAAATTGTTTCGATAAAGCGTAATTATTTGCCTCCATTTTAATTCATTTTCAAAGTATCGATTCGTTTCAAAATGTCTCAATCGAAGAAGTATCGATAATTTTCTCGAATGATCGTTAATTCGATTATATTTTTTCTCATCCCATACCAATCATGATTTAATGGAACAGCTGTCAATTTTGTTTAGAACAGTATACACTCAACCGATTAAAACTGGAACTTGTTTGGCCATTCTGTTATATCCAATCTCTTTTCCAATCTTCGATTAGTTTTTCTTTCATCCTTTTTTCTCGATGAAAATCGAGATCAGATTGATAGGGATTGCGCTGATAATTTCAAACATTTTTTTGTTTTGTAATTAAGTAACAGATGATTGCAATTAAATGAAAAATGGCAATTATAATGATCAAGGATTGTAAATAGGATAATACTTGAAATGAAAAATGTAGAATACACGTGAAGTATGTAGAATATATACTTAAATTACAACATCCAACATCCCATTCACTTCGATTCATGTTACTTTACTTTGTCTACTTCAAACAATCGAGCCACGCCTTCGTTTATCGATGTTTTAAGATCGAATAACCTTCGCGAATGAGACTCGTTCGTGCAAATCTATAAAGTTGTAAAAAGACTCCTCATATAATTTACATTTCGATTCAAATACATATCAAGTTTTGAATAAAAAAAAATATATATATATCAAAATAAAATAAATAGTGCTTAAAAAAAAAATCTTTAATAAATATTTATTCGAAAAATCGTTTAAAAGTGTATATTAAACTTGTTAATAATAAATTAATAAATTAATAAATTAATAATATAAAAATATTTTAGAGAAAAGGGAGAGAATTATTTATTGAAGAAATTAATAAATAATACAAAAATATTGTTTTTCTTATTTCGAAAGTTTCATCGCGACATAAGAACATGACAATCAAGTAATTTATTTCTGGAAATTATTAACTGAGAAATATAGTGTTTATTTTGAAAAATAACGAAATATTTATTGCAATCTATTTTTCTGATATTCCAAGCAAATAATATTAATATTTTTCTTTTATTAACAATAAACATCTAAATTTTTAGTTTTGATATTGAAAAATTATATGGAAAAAGATATGAATATATCTAACTTTTAGAATAAGCATTGACAGTTTCAATATATCTCTCAAGTGGAATAAGTACTATGTCTGATCAGACGTCGGCGCATAGTTATTTGTCGATTTGACCGTGTAGGGGGCAGCTGTTGCCAAGTTTACTACTGTGAAACGTACGGTGCTGCCAGTATCAAGGAACAACGTTCATTTGTGGAACTAAAGTCTTTTTAAAGATTATATATTTTTAAAAATATTGGATGTTTGATTTTGTTTTTTTTAACAATTTTTTTAATAAATAAAATGAGATAATTTAGTTATTTTTAGATTTTCAGATAGAAATTTATTTGATAATTATGAAAAATAGAAAGATTCGATTTCTTATTTTATAACTTTTTTTAACAATTTTTTTTGGTAACATATTAAATAATTATAAAATCCAATAATATTAATAATTTATTTAATTATTTATTCAATTTTTTTATTTATAATTCAATAAATTTTATTTATAATCACAATATTAATTGTATTTATTAAAAAAAAATATGAAGATTTGATTTCTTATTTTGCAATTTGTTGTTTTGATAGCTATTTAAAGAAGTTTCTAACAAATATTACACTCTTGAAAATATTAAGTACTTAATAATAATTTTAGTACATATTTTTAGATGATTTTAAATAATAAAAATTTATTGAATAATTATAAATCTTAAAATCTTAAAAAATATCTTAAATAAATCTTAAAAAAAAATCTTAAAATTTTTCTTACTAGAATTATTAATGTTTTTTTAATTTATCAATTTATCTTATAATATAATTATAAGGATTATATAATTGTTATGAAAGGAGTATTTGCGAGTATTTGACATCAATTTATTAAAAATATACATAGTTGTTTATTTCCACTGAACATATGTAACACAAATGAACAGGGAATTGTTTGATGTACCGACATTGCCCTCTTGAACTCCCGCAAATACTTGTAATGGCAAGCAATTGTTCGTTATCCATCCGCCTTCCACATCTCCATCAAAGCAAATAAACTAGATGAATATCCCATTCAAACATTTGTCATATTCAAATATTTGTTATATTTTTAAGATAAATAAATTCATATCCAAAAATTCATCAAAAATCTGTATTTAATAGATTTAATAAAATTTAGATTTCCAATTTTCAATATAATAAATTTTTACAAACATATATTCATCACATCCTCTTTTTAAAAATATATACATTTTATATTTTCCTTATTAAACGAAACTAAGAAAGAATTTTAAAAGAAAGAATATCCAATATCCAAAAATCCAATTTGGATATAAATATTCATTTAAAAATACTATAATTTTCTAAAAAAAAATCACATTTTATATTTTTCTTCACGAAAGAAATGATTATATCATAAAATATCACGAAAAAAAAATCTCGTAGAAACGTTGAAAAGGTTATCCACCAGCAAAATCGACAAAAAAAGGAAAAAAAATAAATAAAACTTAAAAAAGAACAAAAGATTTTCTAACGCCTTCATATTAAATGAAAGCCCCCCCTCCCCCCTCCCTCTCTCTCTCTCTCTCT